TTATGTGTGTTGATTGCTTCACTACTCATCTCGTTGGTTTGGGTCCTTGTCATTGCACGGACGTTCCTTCGGACCGTGCATCACTCATCCCTCGATGAGGATGCATCACTAGGACTTTCCTGAATGTATCTGACCATTCTGGTGGCAATCGTGGCCAACCTTGCCTGTATTGTACCGCAAATCCACGCGGTGCTGACTCCGAAAGGTGTGTGAGTATGGCAGTATGCCCTTCTTTCCCCCCCCGCCCCTGAAGAGGGCAACTACCAGTATATATCATCATTGAACCGGCCCCAGGTAATTCGGTATTATTTTGTTTTGTTCACCTGATTGCAACTGGATCTGGGACCATGTTTCCACAATTCATGAGTGTACCAACTGAGGAAGGGGTGTTTTCTTACCTCGAAGTACGATTCCAGCTCATTTGGACTAGAACCTGGGTGGGGTTCCGGGCCGCCCGGCGGACCGGCGGGGGCCCGGGTGGGGTCCCGGGCGGCCTCGGCGGGCAGTGCACCCGGTCGGTCCCCGGGCCCTCCCAGCGCCAGCGCACAGGGTATTTCGTTTTTTTTTTACCCCATTTCAAATGCTGGTGGGCTCCCGCAGGCCTACCGCGTTCGACCGGCCCGAAAACCCGGGACATCGGGCCCGATAGGCCTGTGGGAGTGGGTTTGAAAATTGCGGCGGGTCTGTGGCCGTCGATCCGCCTTGAACGACGGCCACAGAGTCGTAGCAAGTTTCCTGCCCAGATTTGAATGGCGGCGATCTTGCCCGCAACCCATCCGTGGGTGTTCGCTGGAGCTGCCCCCTTCGACCCGCAGCCTTTCGAAGTTGCGCCGCCCGTTGGTTCGCTGGAGCTGCCCCCTTCGCCCGTCATTCGTCGTCGCCGTTCGCAGGAGCTCGTCTCCTGGCCTGCCGCTCGTTGTTGTCGTCAGCTGGAGCCGGTCGTCGTCACCCGTCCCCATTTGCAGGAGCTGCCCCCTTCGCCCGTCGCCCGTCGCCGTTCGCAGGAGCTGCCACCATTCTTCTTCTTCTTCTTCTTTTTCTACTTCTGCTTGTGTACCGTGGACGTTGGTTAGGTCAGGCGAGACTCGGAAGGTAAGAAAAACAGAGGGGAGGCCGTCAGGCACGTCGAGCCTTCCCCTCTTCTTCTTCTTCTTCTTCTTCTTCTTCTTCTTCTTCTTCTTCTTCTTCCACAATCTTTCTTCTTCTTCTTCGTCTTCCCCTTTGTCCCCCCCTCCTCTTCTTCTTCTTCTTCTTCGTCTTCTTCTTCTTCTTCTTCTTCTTCTTCTTCTTCTTCTTGCATCAGTCGACCTTCGGCAGTTAACGACGATCTTTATCTTCTTCAGCCTTTTGGCTGTTTGGGCCAGGGCACATCTTCGACTACCTTAGGCAGTTGTCACGAACGACGAACGGAAGAAAAAAGAAAGGCCGTCCTCCTCCCCCTCCTCCGCTCTTCTCTTCTTCTTCTTCCTTCTTCCTTCTTCTTCCTTCTTCTTCTTCCTCCTTCATCGTCCTCCTCCTTCCTCCTCCTTCTGCCTCCTTCTTCCTTCTTCCATCACATCTTGCCATCCATCCATCCCATCTCGCCATCCATCCCTTCTTCCTCCTCCTTCTTCCTCCTCCTTCTTCCTCCTCCTCCTTCCTCCTTCCTCCTTCCTCCTTCCTCCTCCCTCCTTCTTCCTCCTCCTCCTTCCTCCTCCTCCTTCCTCCTTTCTCTTCCATCGCATCTCGCCATCCACCCCTTCCTCCTCCTCCTCGTCCCTCCTTCTTCTTCCTCCTCCTTCCTCCTTCCTTCTTCTTCTTCCTCCTTCCTGCTCCTCCTTCTTCCTCCTTCGTCCTCCTCCTTCTTCCTCCCCCTTCTTCCTCCTTTCTCTTCCATGGCATCTCGCCATCCATCCCACCATCCCATCTTGCCACCCATCCCACCATCCCATCTCGCCATCCACCCCTTCTTCCTCCTCCTCCTTCCTCCTCCTTCCTCCTCCTTCCTCCTTCCTTCTCCTTCTTCCTCCTTCTCCTTCTTCCTCATCCTTCTTCCTCCTTCTCCTTCTTCCTCCCCCTTCTTCCTCCTCCTCCTTCCTCCTTCTTCCTCCCCCTTCTTCCTCCTCCTTCTTCCTCCTTCCTCCCCCTTCTTCCTCCTCCTTCCGTCACATTTCGCCATCCATCCCACCAGCCCATCTCGCCATCCATCCCACCATCCCATCTCGTCATCCCATCCCACCATCCCATCTCGCCATCCATCCAACCATCCCATCTCGCCATCCATCCCACCATCCCATCT